TGCAGAGCTATTGGCAAGCGCCAGGCAATAGACCTGGAGGCGAAGCTCAACCCAAAGTCCACCCAGTAGCTAATCATGATACCGCAGGTAATCAGCGCGCCGTCCATGAGAACCATCTTTCCTCTCTTGTGCGGTTTCGTGAGCTCAGACTGCCAAGTCGGGACCGTCGAAGTGTTGAGCCCGTTTCCAATGCCCGTGATGATTCTGCCAACGATGAAATGCGGGAGGGTTGTCGCGCTGGCCTGCAGAGCGGCTCCCAGCAGCATTGTAAGGGTACCCAGAAAGAGCACTCTCTTGCGACCAAGCAGATTTCCAATGAAGATGGTGACGACGGCGCCAAGAAAGCATCCAAGATTGTAAGACGCAACCGCGAGGCCTGTTGAGTTCCAGATCAGCGTGATGGCCTCTTCATAGCGCGGCGTACCGACCTTGGTATGTCGACCGGGCGGACCGATCGGAGTACAAAGTTCCAGCATCGGGGTCGATGAGGGGAAAGGCATCCAGAAAGCTGGGCATGGTGAGAATGCCGCTCATGACACCTTGGTTGTAGCCAAAGACCAGAAAGATGCAGCCGCAGATGAAGGCGATGAGGTGGTCGAGCTTTCTGCCCCTGCAGAAGAGGTACTGCGGTAGGAACGCCATGATGAATAAATACAAAGATGGATATGACAAGTCGGAGGAATGAGGAATGAAGAGATTCGCTAGTTGTGCCAGGCGAGGTGATTTAGGTAGGTGGGTTGCGCAGAAGTGAGCTGGCGCAAATCGCAACCTGGAAGCTGGCGGGGAGGGAAAGAGGAAGTTCGCGACACTCGCTCTTGCCCTTTTTAAATACAATTTGGTGGGGCAACGTTGGATGTGCTGGGAATCTTTGCTCAAGTGAAGGATGAATTTCATCCGAACTATTACAGCAATACCCAATGCCAGTGACTCCCAGCGCCGAGGGTGAATCACCGAGTTCCGTCCTATTCAACGCGCTTCAACAATGTCTTCCTCCACCACTTTTCTGCCTCCGTCACAATAGTTGCCCAACTTTCCGCGCGTTGGAACATGTGTCCCTCGCCCTTGAGCACGATGAGTTCGGCGTCGCCTCCACGCTCTCGAATTTTCCGTCTGATCTCCTTGCTCTGCTCAATCGGCACCACCACGTCCTCGTCACCATGCACCAGCAGCAGCGGCGACGTAATATTTTCAGCGTGGTACAGCGGACTCCTCGACGCAAACAGTGCCTTCTTTTCCTCTGCCGATTTTCCTTTCAGATCCAGCAGCACGTCAACATAGTGCGACTCCAGCTTGTGAGTTTTCTCGGCGAGGTTCTGAATCGCGCTCACGCCGCACATACTCAAGCCCCCCGCGAAGAAGCTCGGATGCCAAGTCAATGCGCACAGCGTGTTGTAGCCGCCGGCGCTGCCGCCCTCGATCCCTACGCGCTGTCGGTCGACTCGCCCCGTCCACGCGAGGTAATCTACCGCCTCGGCCACATCGTCACGGTCGAGGATACCCCACTGTCCGAAGAGCGCCTTGCGGTAGGCCTTGCCGTGTCCCGAGGACCCAGTGTAGTTGATGGCGAAGTAGGCGTACCCCCGGCTTGTGAAGTATTGGTGTCGCATGTTCAGCCCCGGCGGCGTGTGCCCGGTTGGACCGCCGTGAGAGACAACAATCAGTGGCGGGAGCTCGCCTTCGGGAGCGACGTATCGGGGATTATGCGGCGGCCAGAAGAACCCATGGACTTCACGATGAGGGGCTTTTAGTGTCGTGAATCGGATCGGCACGGGTGTGGAGAAGATTGCCTCGGGAAGCTGATCGTCGACAGAGGAGCGGACGAGGGTGATCTCGGTCTCGAGGTCCTCGAGGATCTCAATGTCGTAAACGCCTCGAGGGGTGGTGTACCCGCTGCCTATCGCGAGGAAGGCCGTGGCGGACAGAGGGGCAAGACAGTCCATGCGATGCTCGACAAGAGAGACGTTGAGCGTGGCCCAGTCCTGGGTTTCGAGGTCGATGTATACGAGCTGATACTTTCCGTTCTGGACCGGAGCAGCGACGATGGTGTCTTCGTTGAGGAACACGTAGGTTTGGCTATAAGCAGTTAGCAGGCGGTTAACGGGTGGGCTGAACAGGAACTGCTGACCATCCAACCATCCAGCTCTCATCGCCAAACTCTGCGCTCTCGAGCCCTGGCAGCAAAATCCGCTCCCTGTATCCGTCTCGAATCCTAGTCAGTTGCCGAAACCCCGTTGCATCCGAGCAAAAGTACAGATCGCCATCAGGAGACCATCGAGGTTCAGAGATCGAGTCGTCGTCGTCGCCGGCGATATGCCTGATGTTTGAGACAGAGCCCGTCTTCTCGTCGAAATCGCCAAGGAAGAGCTCGACACCTATGAAGGGCAGCGACGGATGATCCCACTGCAGCCAAGCAACATGCCGCCCGTCAGGAGAGAATCGCGGGTATGAGTAAAAGTCGGCGCCCTCCAACACCCGCTTGATCTCCTTGGTTTCCAGGTTGATCGCCACGACAGAGTTCTTCACGTCCTCGGGCTTGGGGTTTGCGTGATCCTCCTGGATAGCCAAAACCCAAGCGCAAGTGCTGTCGCACCCAATATAGGGGTGGCAGTCAAAATCGGCATAGCGGAGCGAGGACGACTGGGCGAGAGATTCGACGGTGCCATCATCAACATCAAGAAGGTTGAGAGATTGTCCACGACTGTCGTTGAAGATGATGCGCATTCGGTCACCGGGGACGGGCGTATAGGCCAAGCCCCCGTACTCGTATACGGTGGTGTTGGCGGCGTATTTTTCCGGAAGAACGTGTTTGGGGCCGTCTGGGTTGACCTCGACGATCCCGTTGCTTCCGTCTGTGCGAGATTCGAGGAAGAAGGTCCTTCTGGTTTCGGGCTGCAAAGCACAGACACCTGTGAGTGTTTGCTTTCAGGGGTTGGAAATGAGACCTACACAAACGCGAGGTGAACTCAGTGACCGGCTCCCAGCTGTCGCGGCTTCGACGCTGATGCGGCTCTCCCAGTCGCCATACGGAGCAGTTTTGACGATAACCATGGTGCTGACTTGCAGAATAAGGAATTGCTGGAGAAATCCGGAATTTGAGCGGCCGCGGGCCTCGATGGGGACAGGGTCTACATATACCGCGGACTTACTCGACGTGGTCCTCGGATATCGGGGGCGGAGTTACCGTCCCACGCACCGGCAGCGCCCCGCCGCCCTCCTGCACGGCGCTTCAGGCCGGGGCTGAGAGCCATCAACGGCGAGAAAGTGGTACGATGGCGCGCCCCTCGCTCACGTCATATCCCTGTCGGGAACACCAAATAAGCAGATAACGCCGATGCGACCACTCAAACGTCGTTCCTCTCGCGTGGTACGATGAAATGCAGCCACTTCTGAGCTGGCATCTGTGGCCTCCACATTGCAGCTTTTCATCGTTGCCTCCGTGGAACACCAGCGCGACGTGTCACACAACACCGCCAACAAAACAAAAGGAGAACAATCAGTGACCAGCCCGAGGGCGAATGCGAATGGCGCGGTTGCTGACTGAACAGGCACATTTTCCGAGGTCCGCCTCACAGAAGCAGTATCGCTGAAACAGCCCCCATTCGGCGCAGAGGCTTGTTTGCTGCCAACTAACACCCTCCTTCTGAGAATACCCGCCGACCCGGAAGCGCGCTTGCTCAAATAGGAAACCATGCCTCACCAAGACCCGACTGTTATTATTCACGGACGCACAGCTAAGACGCATAGAGTGTTTGCAGCGCCCTCGTAGTCAGCCTCTGGCAAATTGACCTTGATCCACTCCAGATCGGGATCAATCGCAAACGTCAGATACCGCCAGTAGAGCGCCCTCAGCAGCAACTCCACGCCAACTTCCCGCTTCACCGAAACCTCCCCAAGCCTCCGGAAGAACAGATCAACGAGCTTCTTCTTCTCATCCTCTTCCAACCTCGTCAGTCCGTCCGCCACTACCACTGCAATCGCATACACCGCCGGCCGCCAGTACAAACTCAAATCAATTATCCCTGGCGGGTTCTCCCCTTCTTCCGAGTCATCAACCAGCACGTTCCCCAGTAAATCCAAATGCACCAGCTGCTTTCTCAACCTTGGTTCTTCCTCCTCGGTTGGAAGCGGGCGCATCGCAGCCTCCAATCTTGAGAGTATCGGCTCCAGCTGCGATAACATGTCCGCGTTGACCTTGTCGACTGCGCTGAGCGGTTTCTCACCCCATGTTACCTTGTCCGCTTCGGTGAAACGATTGGCGGCTCGAGTATCCAGAATGGGTGGCTGAACCGAGACGAGTGTCGCGAGGTCGGCGTGAAAGGCGGAGACGGCGTGAAAGAGGAGGGTGAAGTGGGATAGAGAGGGTTTGCCTGGGAGGTAGGAAGAGGCGGTCCATGAGGAGATGATGAACTGGCTGGGATCGGAGACAGAGGGGAGGGGTTTGGCGAGGCGGTAGGAGGTTGGGTTGAGGGCGAGGAGGGACTTTGTGAGGTCGGAGAGGTATTGCGATTCGGAGGCGTCGTCGCAGGGTCTGAGGACGGTGTTGGCGATGCGGAAGCAGAGGCCGCGGCCGCCGGAAAGGGGGATGGGGGTGCCGGTGAGGCCGAAGCCGGCGAGGACGGAGGGGGGCGGTGGGTGGGACATTTTGGTTTTGGAGAAGATGTTGCATCTTCAAGGATGGGGAGAAAGGAGGAGGCGTTGGTCTTTTGAATGGGGTGGTCGTGTCGTTGGAAGGGCGCGGTGTCAGGGTTAGGGCTTGTGTGACACTGGTGGTGTTGAAAGTGTTGGACATGCCGGGAGACGCTGGCGTTTGGATAACCGATGGCAGACACAAGGTGAGTGGTCCGTGATCGAGATTCTTCCGGCACATGGACACTCAGGTGGCCCGGGCTGACATGGGGCGTCAGCCCTCTGGGTCCAGATCAAACCATGGCACGCGCCACTCTACCTACACACCATATAGGTCCGAATTAGAACGCCCAAACCTAACCGAAGACCCAGAAGGCCCTGTGGTGAATTGGTAGCATGCGAGGGCAAGTTTGAGAGCTTTCCGTGTCGCAGGAGTGCGCCAGGTTCGAATCCTCTCTGGGGGCCCCCAGAGGGAGGAGGCCTGACGACTCCCCTGACGACTCCCGACAGGTTATCGTCTCACCCTTGAGTTTCTCGGTTCGAATCCGAGCAGGGCCAGTCTTCATTTTTTGGGAGATTCTCCCATTTCTTTTTTGAGACCGGCAAAAGAGGTGCAAATGCTTGCAGCACGCCTGGTTTTGCACCACGCATTCAGTCTTGCAATCGTCGTGCGATCAACATCCTTTTGGCAACACAACCAAACTCCGAGCAGATCCATTCAACATTATTTAGGGCCCTACTTGACAACAAGGGGTCGATAAATGGTCGCCTTGTTGCCGACAACGGGAATGCTGAGAAGCGGTGCAGGATTTCTGAGCTGTCTGACAGTGTGGTGGGTTTTAAGGAAAACGAGAAGTGAAGTGTTGTTCGAAAGAGGAAGAAGAGGAGTGTAGTGTTGCTGTAGAAGGAAGAGGACGAAGGCGAAGAAGGCGAAGGCGATGCTGAAATTTGATTGAAAAGGAGAGAAGTTTGGAACACAGAGGGTAGGAAGCCCTCATTATATACACAACCGAACTTTGAGACTCTGACAACTAGGTTTCAGCGGGTGACAGGAGATGTGGGCTTTCATTCGGCTGAAAGACCTTGAGTGTTGGCCTTGTTAAGGTTCGGCCGTCGGAACCTCGAGGGGACGCCAACTAGCGATGAGAGCTTGGATTTGACTTTCAGTTCCACAGTTGCCCCCCTTTGAGTTTTGCAACGCTGCCGCATCACGAGTCAAGTTCAATGAATAAGAGCTCTCTAGTGGAAGTACAAAACCTTATCCTCTTCCTCATCCTCATCCAAAACATCATGAGCTGCTCCCTTTCTCTTTCCCGTCTGCCTTCCCCTGGGTTTCACCCTCCTCACCCCCTTCAAAATCCTCCCCATCAACCTCAACTCCCTCCAAACCCGCCCTCAACCCCTCCTTCGCATTCGTCTCTTCCAGCATCCCAGACTGAGCCAAAAAGTAGTCCACCACGTCCCTCTTCTCATTCAGCGCTGCAAGGTCCAGCGGGACGTAGTTCTTGTCATTCGCAATCGCCACCGACGCGCCGGCGTCCACTAGCTTCTTGACGACGTCAAGGTGGCCCGAGAGCGCAGCCCAGTGGAGAGCGGTGTTGCCGTACTCGTTGGGCGCGTCGAGGAAGTCTTGCCTTTGGGTTTTGGTGTCCGAGGTGGAGTTGGGGAAGTGTGAGAGGAGGAGGGTGACGGTTTCTGTTGCTAGTTAGAACTGAAAGATAAAAGGAAAAGTTGGGGGATATACCCAAGTGCCCGTTCGCGGCGGCCATGTGAAGAGACGTCGACTTGCCCTCGTCCTTGGCGGCGCTGAGGATCTCGGCGGGTGAGACCTTTTCGCGCTCCGCGAGCGAGGTGAGGAGGGTTGTGAGGTCGTCGTTTTCGCCGGTGCGTGCGAAATAGACGAGATCGTCAATCTCGTCTTCGCTTAGTGTGGGTGCCATTTTATTATTTTGTGTTTGTGTTTTGTTTCGGTCGTGATGAGTTGTCACTTTGGTGGGGGTGACTGACATCACGGCTTGGCTGCGGGTTGAAATTTTTTGGAGGGGTGAGGTTGAGCGGGTGCCGTTGTGGCCTAAACAGTGCGAGCGCTCGGGTGTGGGGAATGACACTGTGTGCGCACTGGGGGGGGTTGCGATGACCAAACAAGCTTTCAGGGGCAAGCAAAGTTTGGGGAGGCGGGGGTGTGGAGTTGATCGAAACTATCCGTTTCCTTGATTTTCTGAGAAACCATTTGTGCGGCTGTGTTCTAACAAACTTTTGGGGATTAGTGAATAAACTGGGCGTCGGCAACGGCACCAAAGTTGTCGTGCCGCACTGAGCCACAAGATGCTGCAGTTTGGTGGAACAGCACAGGTATCTACACCCTCTTTATCCAACTTCCAAGACCCAGGCTTCTAATGTTGCACCAAGCGCGTGGCTATGCGGGGTATTCAATGACAGAACCAACGTCGCCGGGCCCCCTGTGAAACCAACGCTCCCCAAATGCTAGACTTAGAGATATTTAGAGATATTTCAACGATAGTAAGAGCGTTCTAAATTCTCCCATTCTCAATTAGCGCTACTCAAGAAACACCTACCAGTACCCTGAGAACAGGGTAACGATCCAGAAAATTGCTGTAGATAGTTTCCGCCTGAACCTTACGCAATGTGCCGTTTATCAATACTTCCGTTTGAGATGTACTGGAGGGTATTTCCCTTACCACACCAGCAAGTGCACGCCTGCAATATGCAAATCTTAAATCCTCCCGCTCACCCTCCCTCTCCGTTAGCGAGTTGTACCGAAACTCCAACTTTTTCCAAGCATTATGAGGTATGATCACTTTGCACCGCCCTTTACCATTCACATTTGACAAACCAAACAGAACAGCAACTCCTATTTGAAACGAACGGTTCACTTGAGCCCAGAATTCGAGCCAACCATACAGTATGTAGTCGCCGTTGATGTGTAGGGTTTGAAGCCCCGTAGTCCGCAAACCTTGTGGGAAGACTTTGTAGCTGCATATACCTGTATGGATTAAGTGCGTGAGTTTCACGTCCAGTTTGACGTCTAGGTTGGGCGGGTTCAGTTTCAGGCTTGCGGACGCTGGGGCAGTCGAAAATAGCGACAGCGTGATACGCATCGGGGAGGCTTCCTCGGCTCTAAATCGGACTTGGATGACATCCTTGTCGTCCACTGAGAGATGCTAGTTAGTGTTTGCGGTATGGCATGTATGGCATTTAGGAGTACTGACCTCTTTTGCCTCGACCAAGGAAGAAGGTGTATTCAGACTTGTCCGATTCCACCCGCACTTCCAAGTAGCTATGAACTCGCCTGAAAGCCGACCCGCCCTCTTCAAGACATTCAAGGATCAATGCTGGAAGTATTGGCACTTGGCGGAAGTCACAGCAGAGAATTCCGAGCCAGTACGGCGTCAATTCGTCGGACGGTCCCTTGAGGCGGCACATCAGGAGAGTTGTCTCAATTGCCTTTGCCGTTGGAGTCATGACGATGTTGCCAGCCCACCGAGCCGGTCTGACGTCTTCCAGTCCCGCAAAAAGGTAAGGCGACTGTGCCAGCAAGCTGTCATTACCTTTATCTGGCCATTCTGGACCGTTTCTCGTGACGGCAAGAATAGACTGATCGTTGGAAGTTTTGATGATCTCCTCTTGGAGCCTTAGGAAAGCTCGTAGGCCCTCTCCATAGAGCAACGGCATGTTGACACCAAAGATTCCAAGTAAACAGTATGCAGTGTCCTCGGGTCTTGTCGTTCTTCGCCGAGCTGCCCAAGTGAATCTCTGGACAACGCTGCAGCTGTTGAGAGCCTGTGCAAGGCGTTGGTCATCTTGATCGTGATGCGAGCACGGCTCGACCTTGGGTCCGACACGGACAAAGCCCTTGGCTCCATCGTTGCAGAAGGAACAGGTTCCGATCTCTTCCAACTCTTGGCGTAGAATCATCGAGGGCACGCGCGTTACCTCGCCGATTGTTTCGTAGAGCTCCGATCTCGATCCGAGGCTTATCCATGAAGCGTTGAAGAAGATGACCTCGGGTGGTGCGATTAGTTCCTGCAGGGTCCAGCCGCGAGTAAACCAGAGACTCTTGGGAATTGAGCGAGATCAGCGGCATCGCTGAGGAATGCGTAGCACACGGCCGCTTTGCGGTACCAGTTGAACATAGAGTTGATTGACTCGGAGAGCTCAGCGCTGCTGCTCTTGTCGATGCAGCAGGTGTCGATCCAAATGTACTTGTAGCCCTCTCGGCGCGCCAGACGACAAGACCCGACAACTTTGGAAAACCCCTTCATGGCTTCGACTTGTGGCGTGATGCCATTGCGGATGTTCTCGTACAGAACCTCTTCATCTTCCCATCTGTGCGAGAGAATGGCGTACTCGGGAATAGCTCCAGGGAAGAACTTGAGTGCCAGAGTCGTCGTCTCCAGCAGTCGCATTGTCCGGTCTCGAAGAAATGCCGTCTCTCGAGGGTGAGGGCAAAGGAAAGCTGAAAAAATCGCCAACCCCGCACCACGGACGGTGGCTTGCAGAGCTCCTTCCCACCCTCCCATTGCTGCAGCAGGCTTCCGGAAATCTCCGACGAGGCAGCAGCGCGCTTTCCCGCACAATCTCAGCACAGAGCCTTGCTGCCGGTCGGATTCTTCGGGACGGGAGTGCCCGGCGCTCCAAGCAAACCGCCCGGGGCGTTTTGCACTGGCCAGTCAACTCTTTTTCCCAATCTTTGCATATCACGGTGGTGGAACCGTCACAACAGCGTCAGTGGCAGTAACAGCTTTGTGACAGCTTTGGCCACGCCAAAAACAAACACGCAGGTTTGACCGCAGACATGAGTACCGACACGCGGCCATGTCCAACGATGAGGTGACGACACGCCAGCTCCCAGATCTTAGGTATATGAAGCAGCACCTGTACGTCTTCCTTGTAGTGGTGCATTCCAACAGCAACCTAGATATGCACCCAGATGCCTACATGTTTGCTACAGTTCAGCAGCTTATATTTCCCCCCCCCCCCCCCGTGTGCTGCTGGCAAACTTCGAGGTTCCCGCTTGGAATTTCCGCAATATATTAGTACCAACTCAACCCTTCGCGACCTCATGTCTTCTCACAGCCGCTGCGCCCAAAGCCACAGTAACGTTCGCATTCACCTCTACTTCTGTCATCACCGCCACGTCAAAACGATGGGTTTCTTGGCCAACCCAAGCACTGTGGCGTCAGTAGGTACTTTCTCCTGATGAAAGGCTTCAGAGATATCCCAACATCCATGTCCCTTCAAGACGTTTACGCCTATGAACCCTTTCCCTCGGTGGACACATATTATGCGCTGATGAGAAAGGCGGGGATATGGCAGACAGAAATGGGGAACACCACTGGCGGTGGGGAGACACCCGATTTCATCCCATATCGACCCGAAGGATTCCGAATTCGATCTCAGCAAAGTACGTTTCCATGGCGCCTATTCACTTCTTCATTCCAACCTCACCCCACCGTGAATCGCCACTCAAATCTGACGATTTCCGCTCTCAGGCTCTCACACTTCCACCCAACCTATGACGACCAACCGAACTTGAG